GAACGCCAAATAATATGGGGAATAACTTTATGAAGGCAGATGTAGCGACGTCGAAATGATTTCACGGTCTTTAAGTCGATAGAAGGAACGTTAGCATATACATATTTATGCTGTACATGACGCTATCATGCACAAAAATGCCACAAGTTGACGAGCACTGTTTTCCAACAGACAGAGCAGACAACAAACATCAGTTTGAATAAAGGTGAAGTACAGCTATGACATTGCAGCGATTTGGTCATTGGCCGATCTCATGAAATGTTGACCGGAATTCTGAAATGCGTATTCGGTTAGGAGGGATTGCTTGAGTGGGATTGTGAGATTGATGACCACACGACGTAAGCCCATGATATTTCCGACGTGCTAAGGTGCTGATTTTTGAGTTCACTTTCTTCTGGCCGCCTGCAAAAGCCGCAGCCGGAAAGGGTGACTGCTTAAGTAGTATGAATTTCTCTGTTGGTTTCCGTTGCCCACTTATACTCAGATGCATTTTATAGAAAATATGAAAAAAGGAGTTTTTTCTTGTACTCACTTGGCAACAGCTCATGTCTTCCTCAGATTTTATGTTCAAAGAAAGGGGTTATTTGGGCTTAAAAAAAGATTTTCAACTCACAAATAATTTTGGACCCGATCTGGGTTTCGCTTACTTTCTGTATAAGGAAAATGATACATTCTTCATGCTATTAAGAAGATACCATATATAAATCATAAAACTGCGGCGGATAAAAATTATGCCGTCTACTTCTCGAGAACGATTATTAAACGCGCAGGTACGACGCCATTTAGATAAACATAGCAAGACTTTGAAAAATCTCCTGATTATAAACGTTTTAAAGCCCTTGAGTAAAACTTTTAAAGGAAAAGTGATTTGCTATTGAATGAAAACAAGAAAAACCTTTGGCGCTTACTTTCTACTAAATATGCTTAAAGTTATGTGGGAGTCGAGAATCAATAGAAAAGATACATACCACCTAAGCGGTCATTTTCCACAGAGTGCAGTTTTTGCAGACTACTCGAAAGAAGCTCATTCAAAAGCCACCATTCTGAAGTTACTGAAATCTCCTGCGATTACGCTGCGCGGTAAGTACTACTTCAACCCAACTTAAGTAATCCTCCTGAATCTAAAACGCATTTCAGAATTTTGGTCAACATTTCCTGAGATAGTACATCTGCAGTCTATTTCGAACCATTCTGACCAAGAACTCGAGGTCCGCATCATCATCATCATCATCATCATCATCATCATCATCATCATCATCATCATCATCATCATCATCATCATCATCATCATCATCATCATCATCATCATCATCATCATCATCATCATCATCATCATCATCATCATCATCATTGTCGTCTGCATCAACAACTACTTCCTCTCTTTCCCCCTTATTCCTCCTGCTTACCGTTTTTATATCCTTTTCTATAATTTCTGCCGCTCGCCCCCTGCTTATATCGGAAAAAGCGTTGTTTCGGTTCTTAATGATGATTCAAGAGTTTTATGGAAAGAAAGTTGAGAAGGCATTAACTCGGTATTGCAAATCACTATCTCTTAGTTGAGAGAGCTAGCGAATGCATGCATCATCGAGAAGACTGAGCACTTTGGATTTCGTCACATGTGCGGACTGTGTATCCTGTGGTATTCATTCATAAGGCATCTCCCAGAGTCGCCGGCCAGATCTGGAAGCGGTATTTGACCCCTGCACGGCCTATACTCGCTGCTGCATAAGAAGCTACGAGACGCACCAGCCGTACCAGGATGGAGACCGTTGGATTCACCAAAATCTAAACCATCAACATGCAGCCTACACAGGTTCAGGTAGTAAGCGCGACGATCTCGGTATTTCTTACACCCACAGGCTTTATAAAGCAATTTACACGCATGACTCTCTAGTCTCCGACACTGAATTGCCATACTTTCTGTTCGAAAACTTTTCTGTATCACAATCTTCCCAGTAGTCACCCCCTTCTTCTTCATTCTTTTCGTAGAAAAATTATCACTGGTGGTTAGGTTTACCTAGCATGGTAAAACATGACGGATGGTCGAAGATTATTTGAAAAGAAACAGGGGTAAAACGCTTGGCTTTATTGTAATCTACCGCGAATAACGTTTGTTAGTGGTGTCAAATGCGCTCTTAAGTCCGAAGAACTTCCTTGGTCGTTAAAAGATGCAAATATATGTATATCATGATACTTTCACGTGGACGAAATCTGGAAAACCAATTGGTTTTTCTGCTGACGCGTCAGCAGTTGTGCCCAGGCATCGGGAGAAAATTCCAGTCTGCTGACCAGTTAGCGATCTTAGTTCTGTCGGAAGTCGACTGTTATAATACTCGAAAACTGGATGACAGCGAAGAAGCAAACAGGGAAAATCTTGAGGTATAAAATTATTCAGATACCGGGACAACAATGTGGGAGAATTTATCATGAATTTAGTATTAACTGTGTTACCAACTGTATAGAAATCGTAAGAACACATGTTAAAATCTCAAAATGGTAATTTATTTGTAACTTATGAGACTCTACGTTCAGAACCGGATAGGGGCCTTCAGGGCCTGTCGCTTCTATCAATCTCAGCTGGTAGTTTCAATAAATGTCGTTTTTGTGTTTTCCGAAACTGGCTTAAGTTGAACCAGTTTTGCTACAAAAAATGGATCGCTGAGCTATCATATCAAACTTTATTCCATATTGTATTATTTCATTTACTTGTAGTACATCATGTAGAAAACCATTTTTAAGCAGTTCTGTCTTGACTTTAAACTTTGAGCAAACATTTACATTAGAAATTTTGTTACTGGTTGCTGAATCTGTCGGCTAATAGTCAAACCCTAGTGACTCCTTCCTGGTGTGGACTTTGTGAAACTGTACCGTGGTGAGGTCCAAGAATCTCCATTTCCTTGAGGTTCGATTCCGGTGAAGTTATAAATGTGGTCGTTAAGATGGGATGTCCAGCTGCCATAGTCACTGTCCATACGCACATGTCTAGTCCTTTTTGCCCTATCTTGTCATCGAAGCATAGCGAAAGTGGGAGCAGATGGGTCATGACCACATCGCCCAGTTATTATAGTAATGATCGAATCCATGTCTCTGATCGCGCCCTTTAAGGTTTGATCTTTATTCTGTAGATCGCTCCTGCTCCACTCTTGTTTGTAACGATTGTGGCATTACGTCAAGGTAGATAAATAACACTTGTCTGTATCAGTTCTGCTAAACGATCCCGCTGTTTTTTTCGCATTTTGGAAGTCTCATCCTCGGCAATGTGCAAGCTACCGCTGTCATATTTGTGTTTTCGATGTGCCTTCCATAAAATCTCATGATTTAATTTGTGCCCTCCAAAATATCTATGGTACGCAGGGTCATTAGGATGCCGGGTTTTTGCTGTCCTTTTTTCGTCTGCATCGCTTTACGATGATACCAAAGCACTTAACTGTCCCGTACATGACGGAAGTGGCACTTCTCCCACGCCCTGGCCTCTGGCTCTCAAAGTGTGTGTCAACCTGCTAATAGAAAAGTTGGGTCTATGAAAACAATAGCCTCGATGAAAGTAAGCATTTTCTTTTTTATCGGTTCAAATGAAGTATGTGTCCGTACATCAGTATTGTAATTTAGTGACATGATTATGCCTGCTGTATGGTTTTACCGTACTGACATCAAATGTACTACCTAAAAGCCCAAGCAAGTGTTTCGCTGACAGTCAGTCACCGCATGGCGGAGCTGCAAGGGGTTTGGGTCATCAGTGGGTACCAAACGTTCCCCTTGTGCTTTCCGGTAGACACTCCAGCTATGTAGCTTCAGCCTTTTAATCTACTTGGAGTGAATAAATCGGAATTAAACACTATGGGCTGAGTCCAAAAGTTGCTGTGAATATGTGGGGCGACTAGCAAGCTAGAAACTGGAGAATCTACCAGAAAGCACACGGGGAACGCTGGGTACATGCTTTGATGGGATCCCGACGCGTCTTTAATAAGAATTATTTATTTATTTATACTGATGGCTCAAACCCCTCACAAATGTGTCATGCAGCGGCAGAATATCAGCGAGACACGTGTTTGGGCTTTTAGGTAGTACCTGTGCTGCCAGTACGTAAGAACATACGTGTGCATGCTACTGTCTGCCTCCTAGTAGTTTATGTGTATTACGCGGTTATCCGCCTGTAGCCCATATATTTTAGCTCAAATATTCATATCAGCCTTCGGATTGACCCTATAAAGCCTAATTCAGACTGATTTATTCCAACTTAGTGATTGATTTTTGAGGAGATTAAAAAGCTGAAATAAGAGTTTGCGGTTCTTTCCTAGATAAGTCTGTATTGACTATTAGATTTTAGATATGCACTGAATACTTGGACATCATGCGAGGTCGGAAAGTCCGTGTAGTCGTTAAGTCTGGTTTCCAGAAAGAACGTCTGTTGGACCGGTCGTTCAATTATTTAGACTACCGCGCCAAATGTTGTTATATATCCTACATGTCAGGCTGCAGACCAAGTCAAACCGTGAAAAATAGCCATTTATTTCGGAATCACAATCTTGGTAGGGTCATCGGTATCTGTGACTTATAATAGCCCTCGATCCTGGTTGTCAAGTCCTGTAGGATAGAAGGCTGTAACTGCAGTATTTTCTGAATCATGGCTATGACATATTCGTCGTGCATATTCGCCTGTGCGCTGGGTCATGCGATCTCCCTTCTTAGCCCGACTCATTTATCATACGCACTATGTATACATTTAATCCAAATTCCCCGACTTTATGTCTCCGCGCACGCAACGGAGAAGTAATTCGGCGGCCGTTAGCCAGCTGT